TACACACTGTACCCAAGAAGGACAACGGTTGGCGTCCCTGTGGTGACTACAGAGCTTTAAATGCCCGGACCATCCCCGACCGCTACCCCGTCCGGCACATCCATGACTACTTCCACCAGCTTTCGGTTGTTCCGTCTTCTCCAAGATCAACCTGGTGAGAGCCTACAACCAAATTCCCGTCAATCCCGACGATATACAGAAGACGGCCATCACCACTCCATTCGGCCTATTCGAGTTCCCCTTCATGTCCTTCGGCCTGCGCAACGCCGCACAGACCTTCCAACGCTTCATGGACGACATTCTGCGGGACTCAACTTCTGTTTCGCTTACCTGGCTGATATCATCTTCTCCCGGTCTCTAGAGGAACACGAGCAACACCTATGGGCACTCTTCGACCGACTGCAGAAGTATGGGATCCTCATCAACCCGGCGAAGTATGTCTTCCAAGTACCTGAGATCACCTTCCTCGGTTATAAGGTGTCCGCCAAAGGCTCCCAACCGCTGGAAGAACGAGTGACTCACCTCCAGGATTGTCAACCTCCCAAAACCGCCAGTCAGCTCCGCCGTTTCCTGGGCATGCTGAACTACTACAGGCGATTTCTGCCCCACGCGGCAGCACACCAGGCACCACTGCACGACGTCCTCTCCGGACCCAAGGTCAAGGGCTCCCACCCCATCACTTGGACACCGGAGCTCCATAGGGCCTTCGAAGAGTGCAAGGCGAGTTTGTCACGCGCCACACTACTGGCTCACCCCGGTCCATCCGCGCCGCTTGCACTCATCACAGATGCCTCCACGTCCTCCATGGGTGCCGAGCTACAGCAACGCGTCAAGAACGCCTGGCAGCCCCTGGCATTCTTATCAAGGAAACTCAACACGGCGCAGCAAAAATACAGTGCGTATTACCGCGAGCTGCTGGCCATCTATGAGGCCGTAAAGCACTTTCGCCACATGCTGGAAGAGCGCCACTTCAGCATCTTCACAGACCACAAACCTATCACCTATGCTTTCCAGCAGAAAAGGGACAAATGCTCACCAAGGCAATTCAACCACCTGGATTTCATAGCACAATTCACGACCGACGTCCGACACATCTCGGGACAGGACAACGTTGTTGCCGGCGCGCTCTCCCGCATCGAGTCCGTCACTGCGCCACCATCTTACGACGCATTGGCCGCATCGCAGGACAGCGACATCGAGCTCCAATCACTTTGGCAGTCAAACACCGCTTTGCGGCTCGAAGAGCTACCAATGCCCGGTACCTCTGCCGGGAAACCTCAGCCATACATCCCAGCTCCTCTACGGTTTGAAGTGTTCCAGTCCATCCATGATCTGTCACACCCAGGGACCAAAGCAACGGCAAAACTGGTCGCACAGCGTTTCGTGTGGCCAGGCATGCAGAAGGATTGCCGCACCTGGGCACGTGCTTGTCAATCCTGCCAGCGCTCCAAAGTCTCCAGCCACACAGTGACTCCATTGAGTGACTTTACACTGCCGGCAGCTAGATTTCTTCACGTCCACATAGACCTTGTTGGAGCCCTTCCGACGTCAGGAGGCTACACATACTGCCTCATGGCAGTCGACTGTTTCACCCGTTGGCAAGAAGCCATCCCCATCCCGGACATCAGAGCCGACACAGTGGCATGAGCCCTAGTGACCGGCTGGATATCCCGCTTCGGTTGCTCACAGACCATCACCACCGACCAGGGACGTCAGTTTGAGTCTCAACTCTTCCACTCCCTGGCCAAGCTCTGTGGCATTCAACTCTTGCGAACAACTGCTCACCACCCAGTGGCTAACGGACTCATGGAATGTTTCCACCGAACACTAAAGGCAGCCATCATGTGCCACGCAGATCAACACTGGGCAGAAGCCCTACCCCTGGTTCTCCTCGGAATCCGCACGGCATTCAAAGAGGACCTGCAGGCATCAGTAGCTGAGCTCATGTACGGCGAGCCACTAAGAATACCAGGAGAGCTGCTAACTCTGACTGCCAACCCAGTGGATCCAGCGCACCTCATCACCCAACTTCGCCAATATATGGCCCGCCTCAGACCAATTCCAGCAACACACCACGCCTCCCCGGCTACATTCGTGCATAGCGACCTTGAGAGGTACACTCACGTCTTCCTCCAGCAGGACACGACTCGTAGGTTGTTCGAGCCCCCCTACAGCGGCCCCTACCAGGTCGTATCACGGAAGGAGAAGACAATGCAAATCCTCGTGCGCGGCAGGCTCGCCACCGTGGCAACTGATAGGGTCAAACCTGCCTACATGTTAAACGAGACAGGCCATGGGACCACCACCAAGACCTTCAACCCCGCAGCCGACGAAACCCCTACCGCGGTTCCGCATGNATGCAGGAAACAAGCAGAAGTCATACAAATTCATGAAAATGAGAATGTTCGCAACATCGGACAAGGCGAAGCCAGACACAGAAAGTATAAGAGGCTTAAACTTGGTGGCAGTCAGGCATACTACCGTTCAAGTGACTAGGCTACTGTGGTAGCGAATACTAGTAGAAATAGGGCATAATCTGCTGTACCGAGCCTGGATTGACAGAGGCCTTGTATATATTGTACATAGGAATAGAAATTAAGTTTAGATTGTAAATATATGTAAATACTGACAATGGACTTACTAACACAGATTATGACTGAAAAATGACAGACCCGACCTCTCGTCAGAGAGGGCGCCCCAAATGAACAGAACAGTAACTTTCATATAAAGAAAAAAAAAATCTGGTCATGAGCCCCAGTCGGAGCTCGACACCAAGACAGACAGACTGACCGACCATCAGTCGCAATGTGACTTTGACTTTGGAAGTTACAGTTACAGTTCTAGATTTCTACAGTTCACTATTGTTATTATTATTCTTCAACTCTTCAAACTCAAGTTCGTCTGTGTACACTGTGCAACTGTAATAAATACTACAGGACAGTTCAGCTAGTGGTTGTCTCTTCATATAATGACATCCCACACATTCATTAGACTTTTGAGACTGGATGATAGATTGTGGAAAATTTTAATGCCAGAATAATATGCGCTTTTCTTAAAACATGTCAGGTTAGCAACCAGTCTATGGAGATGATGCTTGTTTCTCGTGTTAACACTGTGTACATCCGAATTAGTTTGAAAACGTTCTTGGTTATTTATAATGAAGCTTAATAATGAAACTATATATTCACATGGAAGAGGTAACATCTGTAATCTCTTAAATAGCTCTCTACAAGAATTCTGAAGTTTTACGCCCACCATGATTTTAACAATTTCCTTTTTTAAATACCTTTTTGCTGTCAGATGAGTTACCCCAAAATATCATTCCACACTTCATTACAGAGTGAAAGTAGGCAAAATAAACTGATTTCAGTGTATCAATGTTGCTGACATGTAACAAAGCTCTTACTGCATAACAAGCCCCACTTAACTTCCAGTTTAAGTGGTTATCCATTTGTAAGCCAAGGAATTTTGTGTGTACTGACTCTTCTATATATTTATTATTATATCCAATGCTTAATGGATATTAAAGTGTATTATTTCTTATAAATTTTATTATATTTGTTTTATCTAGATTCAGGGCGTTTGTTAGCAGCAAACCATTTAGTCATATGAGAGAGAACACTTCTCAATGACATACAGAAATCATCTAAATTCTTACTAGAAATTATTACACTAGTGTCATCAGCAAATATTATGGGTAGGTCATTTATACAGACTATAAAAAGCAAAGGTCCTAAAATTGACCCCTAAGGAACTCTATCCTCGTTCCCCATTTTGAATAAGTACTTTGGGTTGCATTAGGTGATTTTATTTCAATCTTTTGCTTTCTATCTACAAGGCAGGATCTGAACCAACCTGCCATTGTTCCCTGAATACCATAAAATTGTAATTTAGTTAACAAAATTTCATGATTAACACAATCAAAAGCTAGTATCGCAGAATATTCCACCTACATGCATTTTCAGGTTAACAGATTTTAATACACTGTCTGTTAGCATAAAGGCTGTGTTTTCAGTGAATATTCCCTTCCTGAAGCCAAATTGTTCTGGGACCAGTATATTATTAGTCTGCAAATAATGGCTTAATCTACTGTACATAACTTTCTTAAGTACTTTAGAGAAAGTAGTTAATAGTGAGATTTATTGTCGTTGTTTTTACATTCCCTACAGAATGGACAATACTTTGTAAGATGAGGCACTGACTAAACAATTAACATTAATATTACTACATCTACATCACAAGCCTCCAATAACAGATGTTATATACGCACAAAATATAGAATACTCCAATTTGTCTGTGGGAACGCAACAAAATTACAAAAACCAACGACTGACTCAATGATGTAAAGCATCAATCAAAGAATTTTATTCTTGTTTTATACTATAACTGCATTCCAGCATCAAGGACAAACCATACTGTAACATCCCCAGGAAACTTCGTAAGGCCATTCAACAAAAGCGACCAGGACTCCTCACCAAAGGCGTGTTGCTCTTGCATGACAACGCCTGTCCTCATACTGCCAACAAGACAAATGAGACACTGCAAAATTTCAAGTGTGATGTCCTCAAGCATCCTCTGCATAGCCCCGATCTTGCTCCAAGCAACTTCCATTTGTTCGGTCCTCTTAAACAGCATCTTTTGGCTGAACATTTTTCCGACGATGAAGCTGTAGATAGGGAAGTCACTGCCTGGTTCCGACAGCAGCCCAAAGAATTTTATGCTGCTAGTTTTCAGGGGCACGTGAAACAATGAGACAAATGCCCCAATGTACAGGGAGATCATGTTGAGAAATAAAAGCATTTTTCAAATCAGTACTCTTATTTGTTTAGGTTCTATGCCAATTTGTAACTTACTTATTGACTTACCCTCGTATTATGGACTTGTGAAATATATGTATGTATATGTTAAACTTATTTTCATCATACCAAAATTTATGAATCAAGTCTGAAACTGCATGCCTACATTTCTAAAAAACTTATTTCATGAGAAGAATCTTTCACCTGTAGCAAACCTTCTTCAGCTCCATTGAATAGGAATATTACATTATGTTTGAGAGGAGTCTTTGACCGAGAAAGAATCTCTAGAACTTCCAACATTACTGCACAATTTAAACCATCATCACTAGCCCCTGAAACAGATCCACAAAACAACATACAGTTTATTTTTGCTTCAATGCACTTTTTAGTCTCAATGTGTTTAATAACATGCAAACCTTACTGTTCAGTTTACTTTGGAATCTGTACATCGGAAGTGGTAAAAGGATATCAGGACATATCCTTGACGTTTACTGTCATTTAATGTCTGTCTGTTTAAGTGTACAAATCTTCTTGGTATGGGGTTAATGGACACAGTTCTTATTCATGAAATAAACTGTTCTTGGGCAACCAGCCACACTGACATGAAATATAGATAAAATGTTTCAGAAAATGCATGAAAACTACAGATTTTATGTTAATTGGAGAGGACTGGAAGGTACTGTATTGAATTTATTCCAGAATATCCACACATGTCTAAATTTAAACTAAAAGTGACTTTAGCAGTGTGTTACTACTCTTCTTATAATTATTAAAACTATGATCATAACAACAGAATAATTCATGATGCAATGTGTGACATGAAAATTGGACACTTCTGAATGATCCACATTTTCTATTATTTATGCATCCTCTTCCCTCACACAGGCCAGTTAATGAAGAGTATTGTGTGTTAGAGACCTCAAAAAATATTCTATGGATGATGGTGAAACCTCAAAAAACGGTGATCATAATTGGAGACAAAAAAATTCTGTAACTGTATTATTTTAAATGACGGATTATAAAATGTACAGTTCTTACAGATTCAAAAGCATCATTCAGCATGCGATTTGGGTAAGATGTTTACGATAACCAACCACCACCCATAAGGGTGCCCTGTTAATGCTCATGCAGACTGGCAATACAATTTTCCTGGTTCTGCCACATCTGAAGCTGCAATCTGCTTAATGGAATCAGAATAATCCAAGAATTTAAAATCATTTTCATACATAATTATAGAAAACTTCATAATAATGCCACAAAAAATACCAGGTGCTATGACAACAGTCACCAAAATCTGTTTGACCCCGCTTTGTTACACATTTAAAGAAACAATAAAGTAGCCTACCTGGGCTAGTTGGTGCAGAATCAAAGTGGCAGTTGATTAGTAGACTTGATGAAGAGTTTGTACTGGAGCTCAACTTAACAACAACATTCTGAACCTGTGAATAATAATTTGTGCAACCATATGGCTTGTATGCCAAGAAAAATGAACCAGCACATTTCTGGATATCAAAAGAAATTTTCTGCTCTGGATTTGCTTGCTGCATGATAAAACTTATTTCACGTGTAAGAAATTCAACTGCAAGAACCTCATTCTCATAGCTGCCAACTGGCTTTGAACCATAGCTTGCCAACTGGCGTAAATGATTTAAAGCCCTTTCTGCAATGAACCTCTCAGGATGAGATTCTATGTCTTTGAGAGACAAAGGTGTAGGCAGCCTGTAATGTAAAGCATAAACACTCCAAAACAGCAGTAATCCAATGATCAGCACCACCAATGCAGCATATGTGGGCAGGCTGATAATGTAACAATTACGCTTCAAATATCTATTTTGTTCAGGATGCTGACTTTCAGGTGGCTCTTCATATCCATTACTACGCTGTCGCAGTCGAATATTTCCATGTTCCTGAAATAAAAAGCTGTCTCAGTGTTTGTGCATATTTATATCTCACTATAAAGTCAACAGTTATTCATACTGAGAATAAAGAGGAATGGCAATGAAATGTCGATCAGGTAATTTGCAGGTATGTACCATACCAAACTTCATTAAGGGAAAACATACAAACTTTCTGCCGAATATGAAGTTATATTAACCCTGTACTGTGTCTGTTCCAACATTTATACATGGATGTGAAAGCTGGATTTCAATAAACAGAAAACTAAGCAAGATCTACACTTCAGAAATGTTTTTACATAGCTGACAACATTAAGAAACAAACATCAATTACATCTGGGACAACACGGGCACAGAATGCGAGAAGGCAGAACCCCTGAAATGCAATATACATACATCATCACTAGAAAAAAGATATCAAAGATGACATAGGAGTAGGTGAAAAGAATAATTCAACCTCTGAGCCAAGACCAGGTACCAAAACACCCAACCCTTGTAGAGGTGGAGGAGGAGGAACAATTTAGACTTGCCAGGGAAATGGCAAGAAATGAAGCTGTAAGACAGGCCCCTACTACATACTAAATAGAGGAAAAGAATCAAAACCCTCACATTTTCATCAAACTCATCTGTCATATAACCTCTCCATCTTACAGGATGCCCAGATAAAAATCTGAAAATCTGCAAACTCAAAACTTCCATGGCAAAAAAAACACACACACATACACACAGAGGTGGATGCAAAAATGAGTGCATTCCCTCTAAGGGTGTCCTGTAGGTAAGTTATGGAGTCCAAAGTCTTTTGCAGTTTTGCTAAAAATAAAAGTCCTTTCAGAGATATGTGGTTGCAAAGTCTGCCCAAATAGAAGACTGAGATATGTAACTAACACAACTGTTCTGTGTTACCTTAATATAAACTGGATTAAATAAGGAAGTTCTTATATGAAATGCTCAAAATGACCTCCATTATCCATCATGCGGCTTTCTCCATGATGTGTAAGGGATGTCTGCAGTCATTCCATTATTCCTGGTGTCCCACATGATTTGTACTGCATGTTCCACACAATGCCAGAGAGCACTTATGGCTCCATCTCTGTGACATACACAAGATTCCTGCATTGTCCCCCACATAGACATCAACAGACTTATGTCAGTTTAACGTGACACCCAAACCCTGGGTCCTTCACAGTCAGGGTTGCAATTTCTTTCTTCATGGCATTAGTGACAGATTTTTAGTCTTGAGTCTGGTGGTTATTGGAGACAGCCATGCCAGAGGTTGTGCAACAGAGCTAAAAGAAAATTCTGGAAAATCTTTTGAGGCCGTAGGGTTTGTTAAACCAGGGACCAGTTTAGAGATTATTACAAAAATGGCAACAAAAGAAATTAGTAAGCTTACAAAGAAAGACGTGATTGTGGTTTGGGGAGGAACATATGATATAGCTAAAAATGCAACAAAAAAGAACCTCAATCAAATGGTAAAGTTTGTGAGGCAAAATAGTCATACGAATATTGTGATAATGGAAGCCCCACATAGACATGACTTGAATGTGTTATCTTGTGTTGATAATGAAGTAAAAAGGTTTAATAGGAAACTGCAGAAGATCATGAAGATCTACAATAACATAGAAATTTTAGATGTGGATATAAATCGAGAGCACTTCACTCATCATGGGCTGCATATGAATACATCGGGAAAGGAGAAGATGGCGAGAAAAATATCAGATGCTGTTAAAAGAATTTCCATAAGAAAAAAGGATAAACCTATCACCCTGACATGGAAGGATACATTCACAGGAAAAAGTGGAAAAAGGGAAGAAAGGAAGGATACTTCAGAGATAAAGGAAATAGAAGTTCGATCATCAGGAAGATGTCGTAAACAACCAGTGACAGGGACAGATATTTTTTTATGGACAACAAGCAGTTTAAAGGGAGTGTAAATAGAATTAAGGTTTCTAATGAGAAGACCAGCCACAGTCATGTAGTATCAGTCCTTCATCAAAATGTCCAAAGTCTTAAAAAATAAAGTGTTAGAACTAGATGTTGTACTGCATACTGAGTTGAGCTATGTAAATGTATTATGTTTCACAGAACATTGGCAAAAAGAGCAGCAAATAGACTTCATGAACTTTATGCAATTTAAATTAGCAAACTCATTCTGTAGGGCAACAAGTGGCCATGGAGGAGCATGAATTTATGTAAAAAAAGAAGTTAATTATTTCCAAGATATGAATGAGGAAAAAACTTTGAAATGGCAGTGACAGAATTGTTGGATTATAAAATTATTGTAATTTGTATATATAGATCATCTGATGGAAATTTTAAAGAATTGTTAAGGAAACTGGAACTAGTGATTAAAAAATTAAGTATGAAGGGAAAGCAGTTAATCTTATGTGGGGACTGGAATATGAATTTTTTGCAGGAGAGTGTAAAATTAAATGAACTAAAAATATTTTGCATTTATATAATTTGGTAAATACAGTGGAGGTCCCGACTTGAGCTACAAAGAATACTAAATCATTGATTGATGTAATCATCATAAATAATAGTAATTATACAAAACCATCAGTAGTAATGGATCTAGGTTTTTCAGATCATTATGCTCAAGTATTATCTATATGTACTGAGAATTTTGTAAGGAGACCATAAAAGATAGGAGGAGAATGTTTAATGAAGGAGGTATGGAAGAACTGCAATATATTTTAAACAAAGAATCGTGGCAAGATGTGTTTTTAGAATCCAATGTAAATGAGAAATTTAAGGTTTTTATGGATACTTTCCATTATTACTTTGCTTTGGTTTTCCCCTTAAAATTATTTAACCAAAGTAAACAACAAAAGAAAGGTTGGGTTACTCAGGGAATAAGAAAGTCCAGTAAAAGGATGAGTTGGTTGAACAGTTTGCAAAAGAGAACAAATCTTACAGGAAAAGAACAGGAGTATATACATAAATATCGAATGATATATGAGAGTAATAAAGGAAGCTAAGAAGAGGGAAAATGATAGGCATATAGCTAATGCAAAAAACAAAACTAGAGCAATGTGCAAATAGTGAATAAGGAATTAGGAAATAACCTGCAAAGGGAACTGGGAATAGAACTAAAGTGCGGGACAAGGAAAGAGGCAAATCCACAGCGTAATGCTGAAATGTTTAATTTATATTTCGCGGACATAGTAGGAAACCTTGTCAAGCAAAATAATAGTACGATGTTGTGCTGTAAAACACCACAGAGAATAAATACCTGTAATGAAACCATGTTTATTTGTCCAGTGACAGGAAACGAAATATTAGAAGTGGTGAAGAAATTTAGGGGTAAATTTTCATCAGGTACCAACGAAATGCCGGATTATGTGGTTAAAAAATGTACAGAAGCGGTTAAAACACCATTAGCCCACATTTATAATGCCTCTCTAGAAGCAGTTATTTTCCCAGAGATTTAAGATAGCAAAAGTAAAACCACTTCATAAAAAGGGAGACAAGGATATGAAAAATTATGGACCAATATCCCTCTTGTGTGCTTTCTCGAAAATGTTGGAAATGTTGATGCATAATAGGTTACTCTCCTTTTCGACAAGAACTACCATATTAACAGAGGCCCAACATGGATTTAGGATGAACAGGTCGACTGAGACTGCAATTTACTCTTTTCTAGCAAACATACATGAATCAGCTGAGAAAAAAGAAAAACAGGTCAGAATTTTTTGTGATTTAACTAAAGTGTATGATGTCATAACTCATGACACCTTACTTCCCAAATTACAAATATTTGGAGTTAAGAGGTCTGGCAAACTTATGGTTTAAATCATATTTGGCTTACCAGAAGCAAGTTGTTGAAATAAGTTGTGATGGCAAAAAATATACATCGGCTCCAAGAGAAATTAAATATGGAGTACCACAGGGTTCAGTGCTTGGACCATTATTATTTTTACTATACATAAATGATCTGCCTTTGAATATCAAAGAGGCGAGGATAGTTTTGTTCCCAGATTATATAAATATTTTGGTAACAGCTGAAAAGGGATATATCCTGCAGCAAAAGATAAAGTCATGAATGAGTTCTATGGATGGTTCAATGCAAATAATCTTATATTGAATACTAAGAAAACAATAGCAATGGCATTTCATAATAGACAAGAGAGAGATTTGATGAAAGCTCAAATCAAATTTGGCAAATTGGAGATCTCCCATAAATGTGAAACGAAATTTCTAGGTATACATGTTGGCAAGCATATTGAGTGGAAAGCACATACGATGTTCTTAAGCTAAAAACTTAATAAAGTCTGTTACATGATAAATTCCCTTAGGGATGTAACAAGCCGAGAGGTTATAAGGAGTATTTACTTTGCTCACTTCCATGCTTATTTGAAGATTGGTTTAATTTTCTAGGGTAGCGACCCAAAAAGTAAAATTATATTTAAATTGCAGAAACGAATTGTTAGAATAATTAGTGGTGTGAGTAGATTAGCACCATGTAGACAACTTTTTAAGGATTTAAGCTTACTTCCACTACCTTGAATGTATATATCTGGAACAGAATGCCATGTTAAACTACATTAAGAAAAGTTATAACAAAATAACATAGTTCATAATCACAATACACACCAGAAGTTAAATCTCCATGCTCAGTTTTGTAGAACAAATGCCTATAAGAAAGGATTACTGAACATGGCAATAAAATTATACAATAAAATACCAAATAAAATGAAACAGTTTAAAAAAGTAACGAGGTCATATTTGGTACAACATACGTTTTATTCTGTAGAGGAATATATGTTAAATTAAAGATGGTATGTTTGTGAAATGGGGGTATTTATTTTTAATTATAGTAATTGAACTATTGTATGTTTAATGTGTATGGAACGTTTTCCTATGATAGTGATTTAACGAGGGAGGAAGAATGGTTTGGTTGATTGACTGATGTGAAATGGATTGAATTGGCTATTCTGTTGAGGAATTTATGTTGTCTTAAATTTTTAATATAGTTTTATATGGTAGTTAGACATGTACACAATTTGTGTATGTAGTTAAATATTACAGTATTGCTGACTTTTATGCAAATAATTTGACTTGTTCTGTATCTGGAGGCCGTATTGCAAAATGTGGATTTATGGAACCAATAGAAATATGTATATGAATCACAAGGCCTGTGACTTCGAAGTTTTCGTCAAGGTTAGGAGTAACTTCTGCCACACATCCTCTCACGTGGCTATCACTGATTATGAGAACTTTGTGTTTTCTTCTTGCCTTAGTCCTAATTTTCTTGACTTCAGTCTTCAGTTTAACTTCCATTTTCTGATTCAGTGTGGTGTTCATCAGCTGGTTGAAGTTATTTAGTAGCTCATAGTGGTTTGCGATGGTAGGTATTGGAAAAGCATATTGTACTTCAGGCTTACTGTCTCTTTTCCAACGTGATGATTGCACATGAAGCCAGTTCCCTTTAGTGGGTTCCAATTGTGTAGAATTCTTGTTGTGATGCAAGTAATGTGCCCCTTTACTTACAGTTCAATTTGGCATGTTTAATTTTATCTCTTCATGTAGCAGATCAATAATTTTTGTGCTGAATTTGAGTTAAATTAAGGTCTTTTATAATTCTGTTCTAAATTTATCACAATAAGCACATGTTACTTCACTTCTTTCACTACTATTACTGATGAAAACTGGAGTGGTGACTTCAGCACTAACCACTGTACGATCCACCAACTTGCTATTCAGTCAACTGACTTTCATCAGGCATTTATGAAGAAGGATCAAAACTAACTTCTGAAGGGCTAACCTTCAGTATAAATCATATCCTCATTCCATCAAATTCTCCATAAGCATTATCACCAGTACAGGTACAATAGGACATATGGAAGCCGACGTACCAAGGGGACCTAATATGGATTCCACCTCACACTATACAAACTCTCAACGATTGTAATCTACTGTAATCTATTGTAAACAATTGTAAATATTGTAACTTTATTCTCTTATTGTAATCAGCCAATGTACAGTAACTGACTTGTCCTATATCATGTAACAATGATCTATAGAGATGAAATAAATAAATAAATGAAAAGTATTATCTTGTGGATGTCATGCTGTGTAGTCTGACACAGGTTTTAGCACTTTGGAAGAACATAATGCCTCCTCCTTATGGGTTGAAAAGTAACAACACCCCAAAGATGGAGATTGTACGTTCCTCTAAAACAGACACAAACTTCTACCAGACTACATGGTATCACTTCTCACCCTCGCAAGAATTCCAAATCCCGCATTTTACATTGTTCCTTGCTCTACTTTTGTAGGATCAACTTCAAGTGGGGCATGGTCTTATATTCTGACTTTCTAAAACAGCTGGTTAACACAAAGTTTTGGTTAGGTTCACTTCTGATTACATTACACTGTTTCAGTTTGGATCTTGGTATGGTATTTCTCCTCATACCAAGCGAATAGCTTGCTGTACTTCTGACATGAAGACAATTAGTTTTGAATGTTTGGTTAGGTTAGCATCACAGTATGGTCTACTTCATAGCTGGCTGAATAAAAGGCAGGGATTTTAATGAAAATTTTCCAGCCACATTTCCGACGGCCGTACTGGCTCTGATTCCAGGACAGGTCATGTGGGATTTCTGATAAACGGTGTGATGAAAAACAGGTGGTTTTCTCCAAACATTTCGACTATCCTTGCAAGATGTCAGTCACTCCTCATGCTCCAGTCTCATTAAACAACGTATCGCCGACTCACTTATAGCGTTGTTACATAACCAAGTTCAAAAAAGTCATTTCCTAGACTTAGTACCGATTGAGAAAAACTGCATTTGTCTTACCATATTTCCCTAACACTTTTACTTTCGCTATTTTAAGTTTAAGAAGTATGTATTTCATAAGAAATACACATCATTCATTGAGTATACTGCACTTTGGCCTTTGCTCAATGGCACGGCATTACATGTCACCAAAGATTTTCACTTTTACATCACATTACCGGCCCATTTTTTATTTTGTTGGCTTCGTATCAGGGATATCAACACGATCAACACCACCAAAGAAAAAAAAATCCCTTAACCGTCAGATCCGATCAATAACGTACCGGGTCGCATATTCAAGCATTTAATACAACTTTCTTTTCTGTATAAAGCAACTGATATACAAATAAAATGCGATTCATTCCACCTTCATGATATCCCCGTACTACATATGCCCCTGTACCCTGGATTCAACATCAAATACTCTCTAACCATAGATCACGTAGGGCTCAGTAAACTAAAATAAGAAATAGCGCTTCCTGTAATTGCCGCTAATAGGGCCCCACAACTGGGGCTTTTCACCGACTTAAGACTGCACTCGGAGGCCGCCTGGTATCAAAAAATATCAGTATGTCCCAATGAAGGGTTTCAAAGCAAATCGGCCCAAACGCCAAATTTCATTGACCTCCCTAACCCAAATACCCGGATAGTTATACCTGCGCCCCATTACATGGCACCGGATACCATCCAAGCACACAAACAAAATAACGCAAGAAAGTTCTATTCAAGCCTTTTCTGAGTGGGAAATCTACAGATGTACTGGTCTGTAGGGATGAAAATGGAAAATTAATTTCTGAACATGAGAAAATATTAGAAAGATGGGAGCAATAGTTTAGTACTTTAATGTAGGCAGACATGAAGTTTGAAGATAATAAAGAAAAATAAATTTTAGAGGTAGATGAAACTATTATTACCTCCCCCCACTTACATAGAGGAACACAACATATTAACCAATTTAAAACTGGAAAAGCCTCCAGGAACTTACAACATTCCCTCAGAAGTAATTAAACATGGAGGAAGTCACCACATTAAAGATATTTTGTTTAAAACTTTAAAGTACGGTCTTTCATTAGCTAAACATAAATTTTGTCTATCAGCAATAATTTTTCTTTTATTCGCCTTCAAAAAAAAAAAAAAGGATGTTTCTGCGCCCCACCAAGTATAACATCAAACTACATAACGTATTTATTTTTTAAACACAAGCTTTTGACTCAGTTGACAGAAATAAGTATTGGAGAGCCTAAAATATTTTGATGTCCCAGTAAAAGTGATTAACCTAATAGCACTAACTCTCATGGATACAAAAGCAACAGTGAAAGTGAATGAGTACTCTAGTAAATTTGAGATACACAAAGGTGTAAAACACAGAGATCCTTTGTCTGCTACTCTCTTTAGTGTAGACACAGACATAATAATAATAAGAAAGCTTGATACTAGGGGACACACCTCCACCAGACTAAACAATGTACTGCTTATGCAGATGATATTTTAATAACTGCCTGTACTACTTTCAATAAATTTAAGAAGGAATACATAAAATATGGATGGGTAATCAACGAAAAGAAGACAAAGTACATGAAATGCACCAGAAGAAAACAATCTAAAATAGAAGATTTTGAGATTGGAAAATCAAAAATAGGTCAAGACAGATCATTTAAATATCTTGGGGTAATAGTTAATTAGGATAATTCAATAGAAGATATTAAGGAGTGAACAGCACTAGGAAATAAGATATATTACTCAAACAAAAGTTATGTTCTGAAGTAAATTAATTTCCAGAGCAGCAAAATTGAAACTATACTGGTCAGTGGTCAGACCAGTAGTTACTTATGCCTGTGAAACCAGGGTACTGAAAAAGAAAGTGAAATCAATAAACTACTGGTTTTGAGAGGAAAATTCTGACAATGTTTAGTCCAAGTAAAGAAAGTGATAGCTGGCAAATGAAAGCAAATCAATAATTAAATAAGTTAATCGACTATAAAAATATAATCAATTTTTTACATGCACAAAGACTCTCATAGCTTGGCCACATAGAGCAAACGCCAACCAATGGATCAGTTAAAAGCCTGTACTCATGGAAACCATTAAGTACAAGAGCAGTTGGCAGACCGAAAATATGATGGAATGATGATGTTAAAGCTGACATTAAGAAGACGAAGGTACCAAATTTGAAGATAACAGTCCAGGACAGGACCAAGTGGAAAGGTGTGGCTGAGAAGACCAAAACTCTACGTGAGTTATAGTGTCAAAATAGAAGAGGTTACTCAATCTTCATATTCTAATCTGGAACAATAAATCTTTGCACATAATATGCACTAAAATCAGTCTGGGTATGAACTGTGCGAAGACTCCACACAAATACATACATCAGTATGCTTCACATATAAACAAATTAGTAATGGTCCACATAAAGTTATCCTACAAATTAAATGCCTGCCCCAACCTCCTTACTAAAGTACAAGACAACAGACCTTGGGCAGGAAGGCACAATTATCTTTTGCCCAAGTGGAATTTCATTGGACAAGTAGCCCAGGCCCTACCTGAACTTCTTGCAACCCACGGCCCATCAAAATGATAATCAATTGAGGGAACACTCCCAGGTTTCATGAGGGCTAAATGCAAGCTTCAAGTCAAAGTCTGTACTTATTCTACCATACCCCACATTTAATGAATGTATTAGAAGTAAAGTAAAGGTATCTCTGTAAGAGGCTGTGGAGGCCCATAGGGTTTTGAGATGTTGAAGTTCCCACATTTTCTAGACAATCGGCTCACAGATGGCAGTATGGTTGTCAGCCTTATGCGCTGGCTACCCTTTACCCCCAACATTCCTGGTACTCATTTCTATTAGAGGCTGAGTCGACCCCAGGGCCATAGTGTGGCTGGAAGGATTACATAAATTGAAAAAATCCAATGACCTCATTACTGACTACAAATCATGTAGGAAATAAAATGTAAATGAGTCAGCTGTGCAGAATTCAGTGTCTATTCTGCCATATCTCCTGAATATTAACACAGCTGTGATAACTACTGCTCTTACAAGAAGCCTCCTACTGGTTGCCACTTTATGAACTATGCTGATACACCACAAAATATTCTGCCATAATCTGCAGTAACTACCATAAATATTGCAGTTACTGGCAAAGTTTGAAAGCTTTCCCTCAAAGTGTAATTTTAAACCAATTAACGGGTAATGAACTACACTCACCACTAGCAAAAATGAGCAGATCCTGTTGCCATGTGCATAAGTATACCATGAAAGTAAGGAGTTGTATTCCTAATCTTGAAGGTCAGTGATAGCTTATACCATGCTTTTTTACTCTCTGGGAAACACCCCAACTCCCACTGGTTGCAAAGGTGTAGTATTTTTACATTCTAATTCCATTTAAATACTAATACACTAATGCTCTCTCTTAGATTGCACATTTATGCATTTGGTTTCAATTGCTTCTTTACTAGCAGTTCAATTTACCAGAATTATATTGCATTATTAGCTATAAATATGCCATGTTACACATTCTATACGTACAGCTTCGCAGTTTAAAACTGAGAGAAAGCCAGCATGAATGTAAGGCATGTAATAATACACACATGTAAAATGCAAAACTGGTGGTCAGTTGTACAAAACAAAATTTTGTATGGTCTATGTTAACACATCATTATCCTCACTGTAACACAGTACACCTACGAAAACAACTGGGGCAGGAAGACAGCTTCATACTTGAGTTTCAAGCTAGCATGTGGGGACACCGATTTAAATTCTCCACCACACCAAATTTGATCGCTTATAGTTCATTTATTTCTTCAATCACATCAGCACCTAATGGCACTTTATATAGACATCTGATATGCTGTGCATATTCAGATTTGTCGAAGTCCTGTATATACATAACAGGCATATTCTGCAAAAGGAATTACACAACATTCCAGCATTTGTGCTCTTAAAATTAATTATATAAGACAAGAAATGTGGCTACACCTCAAAGCAAAATGACTTTCTGTAATTCCAGAGATGCCATTTTAGACAAACTGAATTATAAGACTCTAACAGTAATAAAAGTTTTCCTTACAATAAAGAGACATAACGCTCACAAATATTCACAATTAGTTACTTCAATAAAACAGGAAAGTAAAAAAAAAAAAGCTATATTGAATAAATACACAGTATCATCAGGGATCCATTCATTGTTCATATTATTATTATTATACTCTAAAACGATGTACTTTGTTTAATATAGATCTCCAGCAATACATTAAAAAACAAACAATTTGATTAAAACTCCCAAATACCAAGTTTCATTCAGACTGTAGTATAGGCACACGACAGGGTCATGGCCTAAAAAGGATCCCAGGACACAAAACAAAGAAATGAGAAATGACTGCAGAGGGCACAATACACAAAATACTGCCTTCCCATAAGCAATGACTTTCTCAAAACAATGACATGTTGCAAGATAAGGACTGAAAATGTGAAAGTCTCCCAAATAACTTACTTTAATAAATATACACTGTTGTGTATATTGCTCAAAGGAACCAAGCAGGCACCAAGCCACCTAGGATGAAACATTAAACAAACCTACAATTTCATTCTATTATTACAAAAACCATTCATTACACTGTTACTGATGAGTATGTGCTGAAATTATTTTGAGAGTCAGCTGTAAGAGAAATTCCACGTTAAAGATTGGGTCTTGAGGATCAACACCAACAATAAAACTATAGAAAGCAACAGATTAAAATTTTCATTTGAAATACTTGGAACAGGCCAACTGGACCCCAACACCAGCAAGGAAGAAGTGAATGACGACATAATACCAATGCAAATACTGATATCATATGATGTATAATACACCAATATCTATTTTCATGTTAAGAGGAATGAACTAGGGGATTTCAAAAACATGAATACAATGACACCAACACTTTACTTCAATTTATACAATTTTGTTACAAAATTTAGAACTTTTTAAAACTTTTCTTTGTTCCTGTCCCTTTGGAAACTTTAAGGACATTGAAACGGACCGTCTTGCTGAGGGGCCTGCACTCTCCGACTGTCACCACATCTCCAATCTCCACGTCCCTGAAATGAGAAGTTCATATGCAATTGTTCCAACACTGACAAGACATATCTGCACCACAAACAACTTACTGTGTCAGAAACATGTTTATCTTCTCTCATGAATGTCAGAAGACCGTCATGCATTTTCATCATACATAAAAGGTCACTCTCTGGCAAGATGGCCAATTTTACATTTACGTCTAAATGCCATGAAAATCAAGCCAAAATTATGTTCATAAATGAACCTCAAATCTAAAATGTAACTTTTGGCTTAGAATAAAGTTGCTTGCTATTCTTCCACTCAGATGACTTCTAATAAAGAAACTGACAAAAACATGGCCCACATCAGTAATGAGAATATTAATATGACTACCTATTTTTACTTTTTCATACATACTGAGATAATATAGGGGAACTTGGTAGCGTAGTTGGTTGAGGCACAATGCTATAAGATGGAAAGTTGTGGGTTCGATTTCCGATGAGGTCACTGGATTTTTCAGTTGACCTAATACTTCCAGCTGTACCATGGCCTAGGGGTCAACTCAGCTTCTAACAGAAATGAGTACCAGGAATCTTCCTGGGGGGTAAAGGGCGGCTAGCGTGAAAGGCTGACCTCACCACCACCTGTGAGCCGACTGTCTAAAACATGTGGGGCCCTTGACATCTCACAATCCTATGGGCCTCCATGGCCTCCACGAATAGCTTCACACTTCTACTGTGAAAATATTTCTACTCTTTGACAGAAATGGAAGTTTTGGCATTTCTAGTACATGTATTTACATTCCTTTACTGCACTTGTACTGCATATGTAGAGGTGTGGTTTAACAAATGGCTGAACAGCCTGAGATAACAAGCAAGGTCTTCCACCTATCATGTCCAAACTAATTACTGTTAGTTTTATGTCCCTTGGTACATCTTAAAAGTATGTTCACAGCCAGTGTAAATACCCTATTCCTCAGCAGGGAATTTACTTGGCCTTGAGAAGCAGACAACTGCAAAACATCAGCATATCTTTCCAGCAATATCATTAGGGGACAAAGTTCTTAGCAGGACCTGAGAGCTTCAAGGTTCAGGAAATTTTCTATTCAGACATGCAGAGGCTATTTGACTATTAGTGAATTATAGAATTTTCTTAAAAAGCTCCCTGGCCTGAAGGTATAAATAAAACCTATTTCCTACCCTTAATTTGGTATGATCACTTAACTACATTACAGTCTCAAATAACAAAGTAAGTTAGTTTTGTTTGTCCACGTAAATCACAGACAGAAGGTAAAACACAAAAACCGTGAGTCCAGCTTTAAGTCTTAAATTCACAACCAGTAAAACAAAGTACCTGAAGCAAGGAGACAAATGGACAGACATATTCTTATGTCGCTTCTCAAAACGATTGTATTTTCGGATGTAATGCAGGTAGTCACGCCTGATGACTATAGTCCGTTGCATCTTCATTTTCTGAACAACGCCTGTTAGAATACGTCCTCTGATTGACACATTCCCAGTGAATGGACATTTCTTGTCAATGTACGTTCCATCAATAGCCTACAAACACACAAAAATAAATGACAAACCTTATGAAATTCACTGTTATACACCAGTTCTTCCTATGAAAAACTGCTGTTGTCAGAAATGTATAATAATCATGGCTATCAGTAGACCGTCGTAACTTTTCATCATTCTAGCAGCATAATATTAACGAGAAAGAAATGTTTCTGACAAAAAATTGTGAAAACATGACCCACAACCAGCAACAACAAAAATGGTTAATACAGTAAATCAATACTCTCACATTATTTACAAATGTTCATGTCCTGTCACAAACTGCACTGTGTTCAAAATAAATGGATTTCCAAATATACGATCATCATTGAGCAAATGAGCACTTCAACCACAGTTTTTTTTTAGTCTAATGTGATTCTGTGCTCTGATACTCTCACAAGTGAAAATTACTTAAGTCAATCACAAGTCTCAGGTGAATCCACACATACATCACTGCAGCCAACAACAGATAAATTTCTGTAATAAAAGTTTTAGTCATCTTGGAATTTTATATAAATCTTATTTCTTGCAGACCAACATGCACATGGGTTGTACTCACATCCATGGAGCTATGTAAAATTATACAAATGCACTAACCCATACTTGTGAACATGCAAACCAACACCATGTCTCTAGCTTACTGGAAGAGGTAACAGGAACTCAACACCACCTTGATCAGGTTAATGCACCTTGTATGTATGTATGTATGTATGTATGTAAGGGGTGAGCCATAAAAACTGCCCCCCCCACTGTGACCTTCAATGATCTATTGTGTTTCCCCTTGGACTAGCCCTTTATTAATCCTACACTTTTAATAAAGTGTGGGGCCCTGCTTATGGGGGTGTCATAAAGGTCACTTGGTTCCATAAAAAACTGACCCAAGTGACAAAATCTTAAATAAGCTATGGCCTCACATCACACAGGATGTGTGCAGTTGATTCATTTTCTTGTAGGCACCTTTCACAAGTTGGGTTATGTGTCAGTCCCAACTTTGCTTTCCCACCAATATCCTATATGCACTCCTCTTCTCCCTATTCATGCATGCCCTGCCCATCTCATACTCTTTGGCTTGGTCATTCTAATTATATTTGGCAAAGAGTACAAGTTATGAAACTCCTCAGTATGCAGCTTTTTCCAAACCTCCTGTCACCTCATCTCTTTTTGTTCCAAATATTCTCAACACCTTTCTCCGACATCTTCAGCCCATATTTGTCCCTTAATGCCAGAGACCAAGTTTCACACCAAAACAAAACCACAGGTAAAATTATATAGTTTTGTATGTTCTAATTTTTATATTTTCAGACAGATGAGAAGATGAAAGCTTCTGGACTAAATGGTAGCAAGTATTACCCAAATTCAATCTCCTTGTAATTTCCTCTTGAATCAAATTTTGGTTTGTTACTCTCATTCCCAAACATTTGATCTGTGCCACATTTTCAAACAATCTGTTAGCTATCTTTATATGATTTTGCCCTGCATTCTGGTGATGAAACAGCAACATATACTACTTTTCTTTTCATTTACTTCTAGACAAACCTATTTACTAGTGTCATTTAAAGTTTGTGTGTTTCTCTTTTAGTTTCAGTCCAACCTGGTTTTCTGGACCTTGTCAAAAAGCAGTGGTAATAAAGCATCATCTTATTTTAGACCTTTCTGGATAGGAAAATTATGATAAATGTTTTACCTATATGGACTTTACTGTATGTTTCATTTAAACGCATTTTAATAAGCCTAAGTACTTTCAAGGGTCCTCAAACTCTATGAGAATACAATAATTCCCTCATAACTAAATCATGGGCTTTCTTGAAGTCTATGAATAACTTGATGTACTATCTCACTGAACTCCCACTTCTTTATTCAGTATATGATGAATGCAAAAGATGTGATCAGTAGTTAATCTGTTACTTCAGAGTTACACGGCTACAAGAACTACACCACAGCAGATAAAATTCCCTAGACAAGTGGTTATTAAAGTTCTATGCCCATTACATGGGATGGGGCATTTAACAGAAAACTGCACAGAATGGAGTGACCCAATTACAAGACACAAAATTGTATAGAACACAGGAACAAAAGATAAGATAAATAAAGAAGTCATACTAATGCCATCTTGCTGAGTCTTTACAGTATACTTTTCATCATCTTTGCTTTCGCTGCTTTTAGGAAGAGAAGTATAAATCCCCTATCATCAAAAGAAACTACATTCACGCTACAGCTATCAAAGTCTAAAAGTTTCATTACAAAGAAAAAATCTTTCACATTCTCTCACTTACAACAAACTTACAAAACCCTTCATCAAATACTGTTGATTTCTACTGAAGAATCTTTCTTTCTTACTTCCTACTCATGGAGCTGAGCCCTTCTGGAGGAGCCGCCAATTCTGCAGCTACTCAAGAATTTCCCAGCATTTTATGGAACCCGAAAATTCATTACCATGTTCACAAGAGCCCTCCACTGGTCCCTATCCTGAGCCAGATCAATCCAATCAAAACCACCCCATCCTATCTCTCTAAGATGAGGTATGAGGGTTGTACTGAAAGTCATGAGCTACAATTTTTTGTAAAGTAACATGCTGTATTATTTACAAACCAAATACACCACCTAAATCTAGACCTTTCTTTATTTTTCCACATAATCACCACTTCTTTGTACACATTTCTCCCAGCATTCTGGGAATTTGAAAATTTCCCTCCAGCCATCCAAAGACACTGATGCACTGCTTTCTGAATTGGCTCCCTTGTCTCAAAATGTTGTCCATGCAGCTGATCCTTCACAAATTCGAAAAGATGATAGTCGGAGGGTGCCAGATCAGGGCTATAGGAGGGGTGTGGAAGAACTTCCCACCACCTCTTTGCAATTGCTTCCAATGTGAGGCTAGCGGCGTGGGGGGTAAGCACTGTCATGCAGGATAATTATGTTTCGTCCTGGATGTTTATTGCGTAGTGCACGACGGAGCTTGTGCAGCATCTGGACATAACGAGCAGCACTGATGGTTTGCCCAGGTTCCAGGAATTCAGCCAGAATAAACCCCTCTGCATCCCAGAAAACTGTGCCCATCACCTTTGCAGCTGATGGCACTGTCTTTGTCTTCTTTTTTGATGGAGAATGCAAATGGTGCCATTCCATACTCTGCCTTTTTGTTTCAGGCTCGAAATCGTGAAACCAGCTTTCGTCACCTGTCACAATACAGAGCAAAAGAATCGCCTTCGTGTTGATATCTCTACAGCAGTTTTGAAGTGATGGCTTTTCGCTGACCTTTGTGGTCTTCGGTCAATAACCGCGGAACCCAACGAGCACAAACTTTCCTATAGCCCTAGCTTTCAATCATCTCCTGTACTGCACTGTTCCCTATTCCAAGTATTTGGGCTATTGTGTCCACAGTCACATGCCTGTCATCTTGAATGATCTCATCCACTCTTTCCTTGTTGCATTCGGTTGAGGCTGTTCGAGGACTACTGCTCCAAGGTTTATCTTTGATACTGGTGTTCCCAACTTTAAAATGTTTCACCCATCTTCGAACACTGCTCGCACCCATGCACACACTTCCATAAGCACGCTGAAGTCTCTGGTGAATTTCTGCAGCAGGGATTTCCTCTTTCACAAGAAATTCGATGACAGCACGCTGGCAAAATGACATATCGCTGTCAGCCATTTTGTTAGGATACTGGTCACATGATGCAAGCTACTGACATCACAAGACACTCAAGATTAACACAGCAGCTGGTTCCACCTACCACCGTACTCTCTTTCGTCTGCTGTTCCCAGGTTACATGCAAAGAAAAGTTGCTCATGACTTTCAGTACGACCTACGTAGTTTTTTCTGCTGAAGAATATATCACAAAAGTGTAGTATAAATAAAAATGAGGGGGGAACAAAGATGAAACTGATAAGAAACAGACAAAACACCTCACTGACAAAAGAATATCGTACACCTGCACAACAGATCACACAAAAATAAATGTTATTTAACTTCAACACTTATTTGGAGCTTCTTTCATACTTCGTAAGAAAAACTTTACAGACACTATTCCAACTATCACTACCATGCCATAGCAATTGTTACTATACATTTCTCAAGAATGTCAATAATTAAGTACCAATGTTAAGTGAGGCTTGCAATAAAAGAGACTTAGCATACAATTTATGTAACTTACATAAAGTTGTCTCTATGCTTAATAAATTAAGAACTAATGCCATGAAGGCATGGGGGAATGGAGGTATAGCTTCACCATTCTTGACCTTGCCACTATAAAAGTTCTGATAATGGTCTTCTGGGTTATGTTGCTATGCAGCCTTGTAGAAGCCAAATCTATGCTCAAATGGTGGTAACATGATACTCCAAAATGCTTTAACCCCTAAAAGACCAGAGGGCATCACAGCCAGGAAGACCAAAATCCAAACTAGCATTGTCATCAAAGCTTCAAATCTCACCAACTTTCTCAGAATTTGAATTTGTCCACTTCAAAGTAGAATTATATCATTAACCCTTCAAGCTGGTATACTGAGTATGTCCTTGACAGGTTGTAAGTTTCACTGCCATTTAAATACTACTGCAGTCTACAGCTATTAGGGGTCTAAATGCCAGCTTGAGGGGTTAATTCATAGGTATGAAAGAAGGAAATCCAGATTTATCACCACCACCATTCATAAACCAGAAACTATTCCATATCCAACTACACCAGTTGAGCCCAAATCAGGCAGTGTCATCCAATTCCCTGTAAAGTGAAAACAAGCAATAAGTTCTCTCCCATCACCCGCCAAGCAGCCACCAGCCACCAACAGGCAAAGACATGGAATAAACAAACCTCTCTGGGAGTTTTGAACCCTAGACCCACATTGCGATAGCGGCGAAGTGCTTTCTTCTTCTGCCCAAATTTTCTGTTAAGGTTCAAATGTGGCTGCTTTTGGAATGCTCTCTCTGTCTATACACAGAAAAGAAACAAAACCAAGATTAATGCAAACCAAAACAGTCGCCTTACTGAAATGCAACCTACCTCTCTTGGTGTCTTAAAACCCAAACCAACATTACGAATGTAACGAAGAGATTTCCTTTTCTTGGCCCCTAGGCCTTTCTTACGATTGAGAAATATTGTAGGCTGCTTTTGAAATGAACGTTCACTCTGCAAAAAGGCAACAATTTATTTTTATCAAAATAACAGAAATTTCACTGTTTCTGTTTACAATTAAGGGCATACACTGTTTTTAACTGCACCTTGGTTACAAATTTAACAATGCTGTTAAGTATCTCAACTATGTAACACCAAATGGTAGAATCAGTGATGAATCAGAAAGGATTCAGAAGGAAGCAGCTGTGCCCTAATCAAGATAACCTGGTTTCATTTGCCTGTAGGGACTAGGAAACCCACAAAAACCTAAATACAGACAGCTGGTGTCCTAGCCAACACTTGAACCAAGCACCTCCCAGATCAAGTCTAAGGCATTACTTCTATACCAACCTGCTTGGATAGATTACAGATGTGGCACCCATGTCCAAATTAGACATTACAAACACTATGCCAATTCTTGGATCACTTAAATCTCGGCTACCTAAGAATTATTTATAAAAGCATAATTTTCATAGTGCTCAACTAAGCGTGCCATTATGACATATGAGGGCACTGTTACCTTGGCACTAGCTCAGGTAAGTTCCATCACATCAGCTCCTTGGTTTCAACTTATCTACGAAACTGATATATAAACAAGAAAATGGCATCAGTTAGTTGTCTCATTCCAGTTTCACTGTACTGGCAGCTGTATAGAATTTTAAAGAATTTAAATATCTTAAGCATTCAGACAACAAAGCCTGAAATGAAACCAATGTGTTTCCACCAATATAATCCTAGGATATAATTTCTGCAGAAAATGGTGAGCTATGGAATGTAACAGCTTTTATAGCATTACTGTGGGAAAATTAATTTGGCTTTCAAACAGTTGATCAATTCCCAAAGTGTGCACAGAAGCACCATCTTGTTGGAACCAGATATGACGATTCACTTCCGTCTGAAAAATTAAAAAGGCAGATTCCCACACCAAACTATAACTTTTGCAGTGTATAGGTGGGTTGCCCATCACTCCAGTATTAGAAATTCTGTTTTTCTGACTTGGCCAGAGTCACTTAGAAAGCAGGTCCTTTAAGGCCTAATGAGTTTGTAATGAATATCCGGATACATATTCAAGATGTTGATGGAGTGTGTGCGCATGGAAGGCCAACCAAAAGATATTACAGAGGAAATTTCAGTTAATAAAAACTGTCTGAAAAACTTAAAGCAGTTGACTGATGTCTAGCAAAGCAATACAGACTGCTGATTGCTACTTCCCTAACCATTCCAACACTCGCTGTGTAGACTGGTGGTGAACTTCCAAAAAAATGATTAAAACACTACTGGTATTCCAAAAATTTTCCACCCACTCTAAGGTAGTGTCAAAGGAGGGAATACTATCAACATGAAACTCATCCCTATATCTCCTTTGGACCTGCACTACCAAATTACTTTCAATAACTGTTGCAACCATGAACATGCACATGCACCAGCCAGTTCTCCACACTCACTCATAAATATTCTGTCAAAAGAAAATGCACAGATCAAAGAACAACTTTAAAAAAACCAACTCTCTAACTTCCTTTCTTTTAGCTCCAGCAGCACTCTGTAAATAGTCACACTGCATTGCTGTACCTTGAATATGACACACAAGCAGAACTTCAGCTGAACTCTCAATTCTCAGTATGTAATATCCAAACATTCTGCAAAACTAGGCAGGACTTCATGTGTGAATGGCTTTCCCTATTTCAGTATTATCATATTCATAATTTACCACATCTGTTGCAAAAAGGCAAAATAGCCAGAAATTGGCAAGTGGTGGGAGATACTCACCTTAATACAAAATGTTACAATAATTTGAATCTTGCAGTCAATACATCAGCCATAAAAATGTTTAAAAAAAAAAAGGTAAAACTATCCCTGTAACAGACAGTGAAGGCCCATAGGGGTGTCAGAGGCTGAGGCTCCCACATCTTCTATACAGTCGGCTCACAGATGGTGGTAGGCTGTCAGGCTTACGTGCCGGCCACCCTTCATCCCCCAGGAAGACTCCTGGTACTTATTTCTGTTAGAGGCTAAGTGCACCCCAGGGCCATAGTGCAGCTCGAAGGATTAGGTCAATTGAAAAAATCCAAGATCATCACGAATTTAACTTGCGACCTTTTGGCTTGTAGCATAATGCCTCAACCATCTATGCTACTGCAACATTAGCCATAAACCTCTTTAAATTTACCCAACGGTCACAAATTTGGGTTTCATACTTACTAGTCCAAGCTTAACTCATGCAACCATCACACTGTTAAATATACAGAGAAGCTATCTGAAAGCCTGCTGCAAAGCTTTCAGCCAGTTCAGTGGAAGAGGTTTATCAATTGTTTGTGCATTCTGACCTGCAGTGCAATCAGCATGGTCACTGCCATCAAGTGACAAATATAACCCACCCAGATCACAGAAGATATCCCACTGTGAAACACACATTTCTTACATCTCTATATAATATTTACACTCATCCAGTTAAGTTCCTTTTCAGAAATGCAGCAGATTTGAAGCCTGAAACTTTTTGAACCCCTAATCTCTTGTGCAAGACTTCAAAGGAAATGTCCTATCACTGATTTAATCCAGTTTCTTTTCTGTATGATCTGGCACTTCGACCATTTTTTTTTTGTAAAATAACACTATTGTGTCCTAACTCATTTATGACTGAACTGTCAGCTTTTCTATGTGAAATTATGACATCCTCATATTTATAACTGAATCTTCTCCTTACTTTCCCCACACAACTACTTTACACGTATCGCATATGAACATCAATTGCTTCAACATCTAACACAATACTGAGCATTTACACTCAAGAAATAACATGTATGATTCATGATTGCTTATCATATGGGTCAAACACAGCAGCAGCAGCAAGAGGGTCCTGATTTATGAGTGGGCTAACACAAAACATATAAGCTCAGTTCATAACTGCTGTTCTACCATTTATTGGGGTGACAATGGAAATAAACTGTAATGTATATAGGCAATCAAGTGTTTTGTCAACTATGGAACAAATCTGAACCAGTAGCATGTGGAACTTCCAGGTGAATGGTAAGAGGATCTGCAGCAGCCTCTCAGCCTTCCTTTCTCACATTTACTGGGGTTCTTATGACAGCTACAATGCAGATTACTCTTTGAGGATGTGCTGCCTCCACCTCCAGTGAAATACCATGAAGATGCAGGCAGCATGCTCCTCTAAAACGTCACTTACTATCTACGAGACTATATGTCGTCACAATCTAGATAGAAACCTTTGTTTACCTCTTACTTGGGCTAGAAACTGATCAGTCAATGAATTACACCACCAATTAACACCAACATTCCAGTAGGAGAGAGAGAAAATTAAAACTGTAAAAACAGGCTTTACTCCTTTAAAACCTTCTACAAAAGTGGCGATATGGCGCCACGAGAGCATAACAACCATGAACATAGCAATGGGCTATGTATGGTATTCAACTTGTATTTAGAATAGTCCCCAACTTCATTTCCTGCTTTATCCATCTGTATTTAGTAATAACAGCAACGACAGCTGAAATACATTACTGGTGCATGTGCTATAACAGGTTCCAGTATCTTCTGAGAAAATATTCGGGTGAAGTAAAAACATTCCAAAATTTTGTTAGCAGACTCAACGACTACACACGTCTACTCCACATTTGATCCTGGAGGGTTATAAATTACAGTGACCTAGTAAGTCACAGAATTACATAACTGCTTAGCAAATTGAATGCTACCAGACGCTAAAGAAAACACACACTTAACTGATCATACACGTGGGGTGTACAGTTCTGAATTAAATACCCCCAGCACGCATCCTTCACACGCTCATTAAGTTACCAGATTTAAGACCAATATTCAACGGAATCTAAAAGGCACACGAACTATAATTATAAGTACAATAAATAAGTTTACACCCTACAAAATACCAAGCAACCTACTTGATCCGCCATTTTCCTTGCACAAACAAGCGTCGAAGGAATGGATAAAACAGTTGATACGTCAGTAATCCTCCCATCTATGCAAGGGCAGTGAGTGTAATGATCGGTAATGATGACGGTAGTAAACCGTGGAAGGGGTCCGGCAAGTCACAGAATGTAGCATGGATTACTAAGTTGGAAAGTCCGAAATCGTTTCCAATGATAAAAACCAACACCAGAGTGTACGTAGAAGCGGGGGCACACCAAAGAAACTGGCAACCGCAATAGCCGAGATAGTCACAGATTTCAAGCAGCCAACTGGTTTCCAGAAAAGCAGGCGCAGATTGAAGAAACTTATGTTTGATTTGTTGCTCACATCATCGTAAGTGGGTACTTTCGTTTGACGTAATGCATGATTGTCTTTTTTAATTTCGTGCACTTTCCTTCTGCAATGGAAGATAATAATACCGATCCTGTCGTAATATGATGGTAATTGAGAAAAGTTCAGACGGCGTGAGAAGAGACGAAGACGACCAGATGGAAAATACAGTAAAACCTGCCTTAAACGGACCCTTTATTAAACGGAAATATTTTCAGGTCCCTTGACTTTGGGACTGAAAAAGATGTTAAATAACCTGGATTAAACGGAAACTGTCTAACGCGGACAACGGAAATCACAATAAGCCTTCATACGGAAAATTTCCAGTCTTCCGGAATGCATTGTTAGAATTTTAGGCATCCTATACATTCTACAGAATTTTGTTTTCCCTAACTCTTTAAAATAAGCTTCTAACGGTACTGCACTACCTGCACTGAGATTCAGCAGAATTGTTTCCCCCTTCTGGAAATTGTATTCAGTAAGGGCTCTAGGCCTACAGTTTTACTTTAGTCTAGCAGTTGTCATCATGGCTACAAAGACAAGAGTTGTGCTTGATCTTAACACAAGATTAAAAGTGATTCATGCGAGTGAGCGAAATAAATTGTCTGTTAAGCAGATCATGAAGATGTTTAACGTCGGTAAAACTCAAGTGTACATTATGAGATTCTACAGAAGAAAACGGAAATTTTTAAGCGGTGGGCAACTTGTGCTACTGGAAAAATAAAAAGAGAACTTAACGAAGACGATAATGAAATAGTGTGGGAGTGGTTTGTCAGTGTGTGGGCGAAAAATCACCGGTTGTCGGGTCCTATGGTACGGGAATATGCTAAAAAGTCGCTGAAAAACTGGGGAAGACTGAATTCAAAGCATCTAACGGATGGTTGGAGAATTTTCGCAAAGACATCGGATAGTTTTTTATGAATTTTGTGGTGAATCAAGTGATGTAAATAGTGAGACCACTGAGGAATGGGAAGTTAAATTGCCATCCATAATCGAGGGATATGAACCTGAAAACATAGCGAACGGTGATGAGAGTGGACTGTTCTTCCGCGCGGTTCCGAATAAATCGCTATGTCTCAAAGGTGAAAAATGTTTGGATGGAAAACTGTGCAAAGAAGGATTGACTGTTTTTTCTATGTGGTTTTATGTCAGGTGAAATGGAGAAAACCTTAGTGATTGGCGAGGCAGCAAAGCCACGATGCTTCCGAAACATGGACATACAGAAACTTCCGGTTGAGTGGAGATCCAACAAAAAAATGCATGGATGACGTCACAGATCATGGAGGAATGGTTAACGGCCTTCAATGGTAGAATGAAAATGCAAAACTGGCATGTTTTGTTGTTCTTGGATAACGCAACATGCCACCCCAATGTAGAACTGTGGGAACATCCCACATTATCACAAGGTCAAGGTCAAGGTCATGTTACAACTGACGGTCGGTCAGTCTGTCTGTCTGTCTTGGTGTAGAGCCCCAGATATTTCTTTTGAATGAAAGTTACTGTCCTGTCCATGTGTAGCGCCCTCTCTGACGAGAGGTCGGGTCTGTCATTTGTTAGTCAGTCTGTATTAATAAGTCCATTGTCCGCAGTACCAGAAACGGGACCTCAGTCCTCACCAAGAACATGGCGGATTTCGAAGCCGTCAAGTCCCATCTATCCAACAACAGTCTTTCATATTTTACCTTCTTTCCGAAGTCCCTAAAACCCATAAAGGCCGTAATCCGTCACCTCCCTCACAATACCCCTGCGGAGGATATATCTGATGGACTGGTGACCCTGGGGGTTGATGTGGTCAGCGTGAAACAGATGACAACCACCCGCGGGTCGCCTTCAGACGAAAGGATAGCAAGAAACCTTCCGCTCTTCCTTATAACCCTACCCCGGACGGCAAAATCACAAGAAATTTTCCATCTTCAAAGCCTTTGCCACATTTCCATTCGGGTTGAGGCATATAGAGCACAGAGTGG